ATCATGATATATATATATATATATCATGAGTAATTAACACTTTATAAAATATTTATTCTATTTTTTTTTAATCTAAAAATATTTATATAGATTTGATTACTGCAATGTAGTAACATTAATATACGTTTTTACCATATTTGACGTTTTGTACTACGATATATTCGAAAACTGATCATTCTCAAAGTTGAATGAATTCTGTACAACAAATAATAACAATATTCATCGAGAATTAATTATCAAAGATATTCATTTCTGTCTTATATATAAAAAATCAAAAGTATTCCGCAACATCTTATTATATCAGATTTCATATTTAATAATTATTGTATCTATATAGGACTCTTTTATATACTTTCGTTATATTAGTCTATCAAGTTTTTTAAGTTCACTTGATATCATTTGAATTGCATGTGCATGCATTGTACATGCATTTTATATATGAATCTTTTAAATAAAGATTTTTATCATTACGCGTTCGCAGATTTAAAAATTAACAATTTCTCGTCATCATTAATAATTTATATTATACAATTTTCTGTATATATTACTGTAACAGTATAATCATTGTATCTATAGTGATCATGCGTTTTCATCAGTGCAACAAAACAATTAATGTGACATCAAATTATTGTACTATGGTGTGATTATGCAAAAAATTATTAACTTTTATATCATGTAATACGAGACAGTATGACAAAACTAAAAATTTTGGACTTGTCTTACACGGTTCATCATGTGTATCTGTAGCGGTAATATATATCTCGTGTATTTCATAGCAACAATGAACTTTAGTACATTTTGTATACGTTCTCTGTAAAAAATACTGATTTTTCAATCAGATTCAGTGATTCATAAAATATTTCATTTCAATCTCAATATATATTTAAAAATTATATAGTTGATAATGTATATGCTCCAATAACTAAGGCAAAATTATGTACACGTGTATAAATATGCTCCGTAGATCAAGAATCTACAAATATATATAGATTTACTTATTTTATATATAGATGTATATATATATATATATATATGTATACATACATCTATATACCACGAAACTCAATATAAAAAGAATACTTTCGAGCTTCGCAGCGACGCGCGACCTGTAAAG